GATAGGATTTTGAAGAGATAAAAGTTGATAATAGTAGAGATAAAGTAGATAATCCATACTAAAGCTCTTAGTGCAGTGCCTGAAACTTAATAAATACTTAATATTATTAAATGCTAGGGCGGGGGATTTAGCTCAGTGGTTCCGTCACCTGCCCTGCAAGCGCAAGGACCCAAGTTGGATCCCCAGTACCAAAAAAAAAAAAATAAAAAATTATTAAATGCTAGCTGCTTTTCAATTAGATCATAAAACTTTTCTTAACTACTTTGCTACACTATGACTATAATAATGATAACTATAATAATAGCTGATTATTATTATAGAATTATGTATAACAGTGTACAATTACTAAATGCTACTGCATGCCATGAACTGTCTGAGCACATTAAAATAATCTTACTTCATTACAGCATCACAATGACCCTAAAAGTTAGACACTTCTAAGCACCAAATTGGTATCATAAAAACCAGACTGTGGTTAGCATCAAAGACAGGTACAAACAAAGTGTTGTGTAAGGGGAGAAAAGGAGGAGCCAGTGTGGTAAGGTGGCTGGAAAGGGTTTAATAGAGGAGGCTCTGCTGGGAGAACCTTGGAGGGGGCAGGATCTCAGCAGGGCATAGGGGGCAGGCAGAGGAAAAGTCTGAGAAAGGGCACAGAAGAGTGCCCCAAATGGTGTGCCACTCACACCTGGCTGGAGGTGGAGTGCATGAAGGGAGTGATGGGAGAGGGCTGGAGGTCGAGGCAAGGTAACCCTCCAATGCCAACTGAAGGGATTTAAGATTCATGTCACAGATAAAGGGGAGGCCTTAACATTTTAAAGCAGAGAAATTAAAGAACCAGAATTGTGAACTTCGGGCAGATTAATTTGGTCATAGGATAGAGGAAAAGGTGGTGAGGCTGGAACTGGCTAACAAGGGTATTGCAGTAGCCAGGTGGTGGCTTCGGAAGGTGATGGTAATAACAGAATGCAGACTGCGAGCAGAACTCCCTGGAGGCTGCAGAGAAGAGGCAAAGGAAGTGTCACACCTGGCTGGAAGGGCCTAAGCTTCCATAGTTGGCGCTCTTCTTATATACTTGGCCCAATATTAAGTTCAGACCCAGGTAGCTTGATAGTTCTTTAACTCAGACTAGCTTCTACCTAAAGACAGTTATGCCTCTTGCTCTGAAGTTCCATGTCCACTCAGGAGCCAGGTGACTGAATGGCTAAGGGTGGGTTGGCTTGGCTACTGCCTCAGCTGTTCTGTAGACTTACTTGCTTGCAGATGCCAAAGGATCTTGGTGTCTGGTATATCTGGAACCCATGAGAATACAACTCTGTTGTCATTTACCTTCCCTAGTAAAAAATGACTAGATGAACGTATACCAAATCTGGGCACTATGCGGGGGTTGGTATGGCCTAAAATGCAGGTTTTACGTGAATTCAGTTGTGAGTGTGTGTGCACGGAGCGGGAAGTGGCTTCTGGTTGGCATCTAAAACAGTGGCAGGCATCCTACAAAGCAATTGGAGCTGAGAAAAGACTTGCCGCAGTAGACTCAAAACAAGTGATGTTTCTGTGTAGCATGCTTTAAGGCAGATTGTGGCAACAATTTGTTATTTAGATTTGTCAACCATTTCCGTGGTTAATAATTCTCCCAGGGGTAAAAGTTTCAGGGAGTCCAGAGAAGTTCATATTCTCTCTTCTGGTGATATTCCAAAAACTAAAAGTAAGGTCTTTGTAGTCCATTAACAACATTGCCATAAGCTAACTGAGGCACTAGCTTGAAACTCTCTTCTTGTGCTGGACACCTTATGTTTGTCCTCCCAGGCCCCTATCCACCCTTCTTTCCACCCTTCCTCCGCTCCATGGGGCTGACGGAATGGACTGCAGACACAAACCCCTTCCCTCTGGGTTTAGGCTAGTTTACTTGTGGGGAAGCGAGCCGCAGACTGGAGTAAGGGAGGCTGCAGTTCCCTGGCTGCATCCCTGTGCCATCTTGTCAGGATGGCTTTCTCCACCACCCTCCACACAGCCTTCTCTGCCTGGTTCCAGAAGAAGCTCCTCCTCCAGCAGCTGGGGCAACCCCCGGCCCTGGGGTGCACACGATGCCTTATGGTTTCCCTATGCACTGCCAGACAGCTTTGCAAATAACTTCCTTATGAAATGACCCCTCTGAATGACCCTAATTTGGGTGTGGCTTTTACTGTGTTACACTTTGTTTCTTCACAGCTGCCACATGGTCATGTTCCCTGCAGGACCTCACCTTTAGGGGAAGAGAAACATTGATGTTTCCTCTCTCCCTCTTACCCACCCCCACCTCAAAATCTGGTGCAGAGCTCCTACTCTTCCCTTTTGTGCACTATTCTTCCTTATTGTGGGAGTTTTCACCTGGTGAACTAGAATTCACTCACTGGGTAACTAGGTAACGGGAGTAGACAAAGGTCATAGATTCAAATTTACTTTCCTCATTTACTTTCTGGTAAAACACAATCACTGTCTCTAATGGCTTTGTGTAGCTGAAACTATTTACTGTGTTGATTCTTAAGAGTGGGTTGATTTCATGTTCAGTGCCTGGTGTTTTTCTCTTTGAAAGGCACTGTCCATGTAAACACAATGGCCTTGGTGCTCGTAGCTCTCAGCCTCTCCTGACCGACCCATGTTTTATCCTTTCCCAGACTCTCCTGATTGCCCCTTCCAGTTGCTTTGGGTTGTGGAGTTACTGGCATAAGATTTAAAAACCCCAGAGGGAGACAGGTTGGGATACTTATTCCTCCTGCTCTTCTGCTAGGTTGCCAGGTGGCCCCTGTCCCATTGTTACGGATCTTGCGAGGCTCTGAAAACAGCTTCTTTGCTTTTTGGGGGTTTGGGGGGCGTTTTTTGGTACCGGGGATCGATCTCTGGTCCTTGCGCTTGCACAGCAGGCGGTGAAACCACTGAGCTAAATCCCCGGCGAGTCCCTGTGTTTCACTCCTGTCTGTTACCTCAGGTATAACATCTGGATCCTGAGGGAACTTTTACTGACATACACTTTTTAATGTCAATCAGAGCCTGGAACTATGGGTTGCAACCTGTCATCCTAGGTTAAATATCATTCAGAAGTCACACTTAGGATTCTAATGCTTCAAATCTGAGACATTTCTTCAAGCTCATCACAAATCAAACATAATTTCTGTTGATGTGGTTTCCAAACATATACTCTGAAGTCTAGGACAATCAGAATCCTGATTGTCAGGCAGACAGCTTCCTGAGTGAAGGATTCCAATCAGTTATCCTTGGAGACAAAGCAAGCAAAGGCGCCTCCCTGTGACTTGACCCTGACCCTATCTGGTTTTCTCCTCTCACGAGTTCAGCTGGTGTATGTGTTGGCTATGGGAGCCATCATTGTTCCTATAGCCTGAGAGCTCAACCAAATGTGGGCAGGTCATCTCCTTGATCTGTTTTCTTCAGGCTCACATCCAGGGCTGGAGGAAATCTAGGTAGTCCCTTCAAATCCATGTTCCTTAAACCCTAACCCTAACCCTGATGGACTGTCTGTGCCTCTATCAGAAACTTCCCCACAGGAACGAAATGAGAGGAATCTTTGGGTTCCCTGGGAAAGTAAAATAAGCCTCAACCAGCCTTCTTGCCATGGAGTGAATTAGAGTACCAATTTCATGTATGTTGGGACTGACCCAAGGAGATCAGGAGCTAGGGTCCGAGGTAAACTAAAGTAAAGATGAAAACATAGGAAGAAGGAAAGGGGGAATGGGACAAAGTCTGATTTTTTTTTTCTCCAAGGCCCCTGTCTCCCAGTCAGTGGAGGGGAGAGGAGTGTGACCTGCAACTGTCAACTGTGCTAAAGTTAGGGAGAGAGGCCCAGCAAAGTAATTCAGTGGCTTCGACAGCAGCTCTATGTAATTCTGGGTTTGCACTACTCCAGTCAGCTCCCCTGGCCTTGGTATTTTTATATTTGAGCTCATTGAAATTAGTGATACTGAATTAATCCCGCCCAGAAAGTTTGTCTAATCTCCATATGCCATAAAACTCAGTATTTATTCATTTATTTTATTTTTAGAAGTTCTTGGCACTGAACCCGGAGCCTTTGCTATATCCTCAACCCTTTTCTATTTTTTAATTTTAAGGCAGGGTCTCCCTAGGTTGCTAAGTTGCCCTGACTGGGTTCAAACTTGCCATCTTCCTGCCTCAGCCTCCTAGACTGCTAGGATGTATAGATGTGTGCCACTGCACCCTCCAAAACTCAGTTTTTAGAAAAAGTGACCACATGATTATCATTTACTATTCGTCCTTTATCTGGGGGGATTTATCTTTTTCCCTCTCTATAATCTTTCACTGCCAGCTGTGTCCATGGATTGGTTTTTTTTGATTGATCAAGACATTTCAGGGCATGTGCTTGTCTTCAGATCCTGTAAGGTGCTGTGGCTGGAAAAGAATTGCAGAACACGGCCCACTAATGGGGGTTGTAAAGGGCTCAACATATGTCTGCTTCCTGCAGCAGCCCAGTCTTGCATAAGGGGCAGAGATGCCTTGGGGACAAAAGACAGAGAATTCTCACCAACCTAATCTATCCGTGGTGCAAGGCAGGATCAAGTAGCCCCTCCAGTGATCTCCCAAGAAATAAAAGCAAGAACGGCTGCTACATTTTGTCAAACATCCATCTCCATTTCCTTGTATTGGGCTTTTCTTGTTCTCTCCCCCATGGTCCGCTTTAGTTTTTCTGCCATTCCAGATGAACCTTCTTTCTACCTTACATCTTGTCATTCTCATCACAAGAAAAACTCATTTTCTTTCCTCGTTCCTATGTTACTCTCAAGGGTTTTGCTAGTATGGTCTTCTGCTGCATCGTATCCTAGTCTAAATCCTTCATTATTATTTTTTATGATGAGGCAATGATGGTATTGTCTGGAGGCATAGCTTTTGTAGAACAAGCTGAGGCTGGCTCATGAAAACCCACTTGCTTCTCTTAAAGCCAGTTCCCTTCATATCCAAAGAACGAAAAGTGACCAGAATAAGGAAGTATTGACAACATACCAGTTTAATAAAGATGCAAAACATTAAAAAGAAACAACCAGAGCTAAGCATTGCCAGGAGAGGTCAGATTTGCTACAGGCTAAGTTTTCTAGGTCTTGTTATAAAACCTCTGCAAACAGAACCATATCCTGCCCTCATGGCCCTCCTGGATGTAAGCTAAAATCTCTAGCACTTGACAGAGCCTTTCTTGTCAAGGTCACCTCTCTAGCTCAGGACGGACACTACCAAATACATAAGAGAAGCACCAAAGCCTAGAGAAAGTTGGGCAACAAAAGCAGTGTCAGGTGGTCCAGCATTTGGACTCACGCTGATGGCCCTTCTCCTTTCTTCCTCTTCCTGACTGCACTCCGGTCCCCTTCTTTTGGGTACTTTCAGGTCTGCCCCTTTGGAAAGTCCTCTCTGCATCGTCATCCCTTGATGGGTAGTAGCAATGCGTGCTCTGAGCCGAATGCTAAGCTGTACAGCTTCCTCCTGTGTTCTCAGAGTCTCCCAGCTGGCCCGGCCCAGCTCAGTCCTCCCTCCTCCTCTGCAGCTTAGTCCTAGTTTCTTCTTGCCGGCGTCTCCAGGCAGCAATGATGGCTTCATCATCCATCTCTTCCTCTTCCTCCCTGTCGGTGCTCCTCCTATACTGGGACCGCCGCCCAGATGCAAAGCTTCCTTCTTCTCTGTTTTCTGTCCTCTCCTTCTCTCCCTCCTCTTCAGACCTCGTGAAGCTCTGAGTGAATTTCCTCTTGGCTCCAAATTCAGAGAAGTCTGACTTGGATGACTCTTCCACATCTTCCCAGTTCCCGGGCCTGGCCCAACTGGGACGCTGGGGCTCCGGGAACTCTTCCTCTTGGGAGGGCTGGGGGGTCTGGCGGAAGAAGTAGGGTTCTGGGCTCCCCTCTCGAGAGCATGAGGTCTCACTGAATGTGGACCTGGAGAACTTGTGCACCTCTCGGCCCTCCCTGGTGGAAGAAGAAGAGAACCTCGAGGTGCTTCTTACTGAGTTGCCATCTCCCTCGTAGTAGGAGGAGGTGTCCTGTTCCTGTGATTGGGATTTAGAGAACTTGTAACTGGAGGATTTAGACTCAGTTTCCCGGAGCAAGGACGATCTGGTGTACTTCCCCTTGGAGCTTCCAGACCAGTCACTTTGGGGAGGAGATCTTTCCTCTGTCCCTAGGCCACTGAGCCACTTACTAATGCTGCCATCCCTGTCTTTGCCAGCTCTGCCGCTATTTCCATAGTGATCAGAGACTGCCAGGGAGGAGGAGATGTCTGTTTCAGGCTTTTGGGAGTTACTGCGGGAGGAATACCGGAAGCTCCCTATGGCACTGTCTGTGTCCTCATCCCTGCTGCCCACAACATCATCCTCATCTTCCTTGATCTTCTTCTTGAAAAGAGAGCTGCGCTTATTGTCCGAGGCCAGCTTCTCCATTTTGTACTCGGACATCTTCTCCCTCAGTGCCATTTGCATCTCCTTCTCCTTCCGGCCGAGCTCCTTTAGGTCCACATTGTCAGCAAAGAGGCTGTACATGGGCTTGCTGGTCCCCCTGCCACTGCTCCCACAGCCTTGGGCCCTGGAGCTAAGCGTGGAACTGGAGGACAGCATAGACTGCGTGTCACAGCTGGCTCTGGCCTGGCTCAGCGGCGGCAGGCAGCCCCCCAGGGAGGAGCTGCTCTGTCCACTGAGCATGGACACCTGGTCATCCCCCAGGCAGCTGGCCGCTGGCATTGCCCTGGAGCTTGCCACGGACGGTGGGCGGGACAACAGCAGCATTTCATTCTGCTTCTGGGCCAGGGTCTCAGTGACTACACTGGCAATCCAGTTCTGGATGCTGGCGATGGAAATGGTGTCCCCGGGCCCCACGGGCAGGTTAGACAGGGGAGGTGTGGGTGTGGAGGCTGAGCATGGCCCCGTGTTGCTTGCAGCCCGGGAGAGGTGGGAGTGGTGGCTCTGGGTGCTGAGCACTGATGCGTTGTCCCCATCGGCACTGACCGAGGAGGCTGCAGACCACAGGGCAGACAGGGGGATGCTCCCGCTGGCCACAGAGCTGCCCGCCTCCCAGCCCCCCGTGGACTGGCTCTCCTCCAGGGTCTGCCTGCTCCGCTCTAGAAGCTCCAGCCTGCGCTGCCTCTTCTTGGCCGAGGCTGCATCCTCCGCCTTGCTCATCTCCGCCACCTCCTCCCTGTTCTCACTGCCCACCTTCTTCTGGTGCTTCAGCTTCCAGGCCTGGTAGGCCGTCAGGTTGACCTCTGAGAGGTTCTTCTTTTCCCCCTCTTCCTCCTCGGCACTGTGCTGGCTGCTGCCATCCCCCGCCTCAGAGTCTCTCTTGTGAAATCCAAACTGGATCCTCTTGATCTTCCACCTTTCCAGGGCAGTCAGCTTCTCCTTGTTCCTGCTGCAGAAGTTGTGGAAGGAGCTGGCCTCTGAGGCCACGCTGTCCGCATCGTCCTCTCGAAGCCCGCTCCCGGCCTCCCTCCTGCTCCTGGAGTGGTACCTGCGGGCGGCCTCCTTCTCAAGCTCCAGCAGCCTCTCGTTCCACACGTCCCAAGTGCTCTCTGTGGACACTGAGTCCGAGCGGTGCCTCCCACCTCGGCTCTGGCTGCTCATCTCCAGCTGCTGCTTCAACACCTGAATGTCGCGGCTGCTCACACTCTCCGAGGTGCTACTCTCACTCAGGGTGCGCCTGCGTCTTCGCCCCGTGAAGGAGCCTGTGTCACTCTCCTCCTCTTCCTCCTGCTCCTCCCGACCCCACTGCCGGTGCCCTGTGGCTTGGTACTTCTCATTTCGGCTCTGCCAGTCCTGGATGATCCTCTTCACATCCTTGTCTGCACCCTCATGCTCGTCCCCCTCCTGGCCAGAGGCTGCAGAGTCTCTGCCCTCTCCATTCTGGGGGGCGCTGCTTGTGGGCAGGCCCTGCTGCCTCTTCCACTCAGCATACAGCTTCTCCTCCTCCTCTTCATCAATGAGGGTGAGTGGCCGGGAGGCCTGGCTGGCCTTCCCCAAGGAGGAGCCGCTCAGGTGGCTCAAGTGGCTGGTGGTGTCGTCCTCCTCCTCCACCGTCAGGTCGCGCACTCTGGCCCCAAAGGTGCTCCCCATGTCCTCACCCTCCTCAGAGTCATCCGCTCCCTCCTCCCTACCATAGTCTTCTTCCCTCTCCTCCATCAGCTTCTCATTTAGCTCCCGCAGCTGCTTCAGGAACCCATCATTGGGGTAGATGGCCCGCTTCTTGCGTACAGTCATCAAAGCCTCCAGGATGGCCATGTTGTGGAAGATCATCAGGTAGGCGGCTACCAGCACAGCTGACCGACTGATGCCCATTTCACTACTGACCAGGACTTTCCCTGAAAAGAGAACCAAGAGAAAATGACTTACACACAGAGGCTTCCCATGGTGTTTTGTTAAAGTGCTGTCTTGATGCGCTGAACTTAACCTGTACAGTTTGCCCTTGGTGTTCACCCATGCTCAGGTACACAAGGGATGAGGGTCATTGTCCCTATGTCACACGCATTAGAGAGGTCCCCACTGGCCCTGCTTTTGAAACACTAGAGTGTTTCTACTTTCCCTCCACAGATACTTTCATCAGAGGGAGAAATAAAAGAATGGGGCGGAGGCAGAAAAGGAAGAAGGGGAGGTGAAGATGAATGACTCCCCAAGAGTGGAAAGCACCACTAGTCAGTGTAAACTTAAGTTTTCCCTTTATAATACCCTTAAGGCTGGGTCCCCATTGCACAGCCTTTGCTGGATGCCTCTAGTCATAGGGAGTTCAGTGGTTCACAGCAGCCCTCAGACACATGGACACACATACCTCCCTTTGCACTAGAGCTCTATGACTTTGTCAGGGCAAAATATAGCTTCCGGCTCCTGGAAGTACCCAGTTCTCCTACACTGATGTTCTACGTAATCCCGATATTTTACACAAAAAATTCTCAAGAAGGTCATCATATTCTTCCTTCAAGATTTTTTTTTCTTTTCCTGGCTATTCTGAGTCTTTCAATTAGTACTCATCATCTTTTCAAATTCCCTTACTGTTCTATCTACTCTCCTCTGAGTGAAAAGTTGAATTTATCAGGTTTTTGTTTGTTCATTTGTTTTCCTTGAAGAGTTTATATGGAAGATGGAGGAAGATATTTCAGGTTTGGACTGACTCATGTAGAGTAGGGTGAGCCCTGGGCCTGTGGCCTTCACTCATGCCATCTGTATTGGTCAGCTTTTTGTTACTATAATGAAATACCTGAGGTAGGCTACTTTATGAAGAAAATAAATTTGTTTTGGTTCTGCATGTACAAGGTCTAGGAGTATCATCTGGTGGCAGCTTTCCCACTGGCAGAGCCTCAAGGCAGTACAGAGCATCATAGGGCTAGGATTGGGGATGCATATGCATTGTCTGCCATTTGTCATGTTTCTTCTTCTTAAAAAGCTACCAGGGCCAGGCATGGTGGTACACTCCTATGATTCCTGCACTCTGAGAGGGTGAGGTAGGAGGACCACAAGTTCAAAGCCAGCCTGGGTTGCACAGTGACTTAGTGAGATCCTATCTCAAAAATAAATAAATAAATAAATAAGGGCTAAGCTCAGTGAAAGGTGCCAAAGGGGGCGGGGGAGGCTCCACCCTACTGACCTTATCTCAACATAATCACCTCTCAAAGACTGTAGCCCTAACCACCATAATCGGACTGTTTCTGCCCTCCCCATACCTCATAGTAAGGATTATATTTCAACACAAGAAGTCTTGGGGGACGTTCAGACCATATCCAAGTTGCAGCACTCTCTAACCTTGCAACTTAGGTAAACGCATCATACAATGAAATCAAATTGTATTTCGTTCTGCTTTGTTCCGAGAGAGTGCCTTGCTGTGTTCCCCAGGCTGTCTCCAAACTCCGGACCTTAAGCGATCCTCTTGCCTCGGCCTCCTGAGAGCTGGGGTTACAGGTGTGTGCACTCTGCCCAGCTCAAATCATCTTTTATACCAACTGAAATCTATAGAACTTTTATTTAAAAACTTCTACTAAGTCATGTCTCTCTTATAGCATCTTTTACACAGAAAGATAACTGCAAATTCCTACATTTTTGGTGGATGCAGTCCCTGTGCTTATAGCCTACAGGAGCTTTTGCAGGTCCTGACTCCACTGTGCAGCAGACTAGTTATTGCTGGCCTCCCCTTGAGCTTTGTACCCTTTGTGAGTGTGGCAGACTTGGCCTCTGTACCTTCTTTCTAATGGCTGTTTAAAATGCAGACCGAGACCCCTGGAGGACCTTCTTCCTGGCTGTCATCAATCTATTTGCCAATGGTCTTTGGGGATGTTCTCTAAATTGCCTGAGTGCTATCTAATAATATGAAATGGGAGGGGACTCTTCTATTATTGTGTCTTTGCACCTGTTAAAGGAAAGGAGGTTGCAGACTGAGACTAGGGGGGACCTGGGGCCCAATGATGCTGAAAGGCATTATTGCCAAGAGCCAGCAGCCACTAGAGGGAGGTAGATAGAGTGTGTTGAACATCTCTGTCATTTTGTTGAAGATGACTGCAGAAGCTGGAAAAGCTAGTGCTGATATTGATACATAGCACACCGTATTACTGTTTTTGAAACTTTAACTGCGCTGTCAACTTTGAAAAAAGTATCCCACTTTACCATTTGAGTTGGCATTGTACAGAAATTAACAGCCATATTGGTCTAGAGACATTAAACTTATTTTTCTTTTCGTATGTACAGGGGTAATGCCCTGTATTTGATACATAAGGTCTTATCTATGTGGGTTTGATTAAGAAATTAATATCTTTTAAATAATGAAAAAAAGTAGAAACAAAGTGATAAAGGCAATTACTTATGATTTCTGTCTCATCTCCTCCCACCTATGCCTCAGGGCTTTGTGGTTGCCCCTCACCAAGGACCTCCCCTTAACCATCTAAGCAGGCCACAGCCTACTCGCCTTAGTACCAAGGCTGCAAATTCTTTCTTTGCCAGGCCGGTTCACTTCAGGACATTCAGGACATGATCACCCAACCTTCCCAACAAGGACACCAAATCCTACTTAGGTCCATTCCGCCGACTCAGGGTGGGGAGCCATGTGTTCCATGCTGTGTTCCTTATGTCCTTGGGACAGCAGCCAGAGGAACAAGGAAGAGGCTGGGTGTGCGGGACCCTGGTGGATCCTGGGACCCTACTCTCTTCACCCAGAGAAGCTCCAGGATTTTCTCTTCTCTCTGCTAGGCACAGGGCCCAGGCTAAAGGTGAGTAGAATTTGCTCGGCACAACTCCAGGGGCACCTTGCATATGAAACATATTTGTTGGTTAGGATGAAAAATTTCTAGCAGTAAACTGGTTTGATGAAGGTCGCCTTTTGCTAATTTACAGAGTCGCCATTCTGATTAGCAGCAGGACTGACTGGGAATGGGAAACTCCATCCAGTTTTTAAAATTCACAGAGAGCAGCAAGTGGAGGGAGCGAGCATTGGCTGTCAGGGAGACTGGATCACACTCTTTCTGTGCACTCGCTATGCCTCTTGGTGGCAGGCATTTGTGCTGCATCTCCCCAAATCCCAATTCCCCCTCTCCTCAGAATTCAAACCTGAGGGAAAACAAGAGATATTTGCACAGAAGCCACCCGACTTGCCACTGTCCATAGAACTCAGGGGACACAAGGACCAGGGCCTGCTGAATGATTTCACCAGGGTATTTGGAAATGGGATGGAGGTGAGTAATATCGGTCAATATCAGACCTTTGCTTGGTTTCTGAAGTAGAAGAGGAGATCAAGAGTCCTGAAAATGTCCAGTCTATGTTCTTAGATTCCTTCTGACACAGACCACAGAGCCCTTAATCTGTCACCAATTAAAGCATAATTTGTGTTTTCTTCAGAGGGGAGACAAAAAGCTGTTTTTGCTAAAAAGTCAACAAAACAAAATGCAGTGATTTTTAATTCTACAGATGCCCAGTAGGTAACTCAAAGCAGAATAAAGCTTGACCTTCATCTTATTACCTTAAAACTGGGTCAGATCCCTGCTCAGCTCTGCATACAGAGCTATGATTCCCCTTGTGTTATCCTCCCAGCTCTGCAGATAGGTTATTTAGGAACACCTGTCTAAAAGCTGGCAAAACAAAGTTGATTAGTCTTAAACTTACATAACCCATCTCACCCAGAGATCAAGAGAAGACATTTTAGATTTCTAGGGACATTCGCCTATCAATGGGCATTCAGAATCTATAGCCACTGCCCTAAACTTACAGTCACCTTGGATTCCAAAGAAGCCTCTCCAAGGCAGAAAGGATCACTTATGGAGACCCAGTCTCCCCTTGAAGCAGTAAGGATGTGTCCAGAGCCACCTTGTACAACCAGAGCTGAGGCAGGCAGGCACTAGCCCACTTCAGCTCACGTGTACAGGCTGATGGCTCTTGTGAACCGGCCAGTCTGGCCCCTTTGCCCCTACTTGCCCCTTTGGGAGATTGGACCCAGCGCCCTCAGAGGAGCCACACCCAGGCCCCTGCCATTTTATATTTTATTTTGAGACAGGGCCTCTTTAAGAGCTAAGTTCCCAGGCTGGACTGGAGCTTGTGATCTTCCTGCTTCAGCCTTTCTTCCCCATCAGAGCTGGGTCCCTTTTACCTCCTCAAGCTGAAGTCCGTTCCCCATTTCCTCTTACTTTCTGACTGCCTAATAAATCTAATTATGCCTCATATGGAAGCGTCTTGAAGAGTGAGCTGAGAACCTACTCTGGCAGCAAGCTCGGTTCCCCACCTGCTCTTAGCAGGGACCTCCTCCGACTCTGTACGGTGACCCGTCCTGTGTCTTTATTTATAATATATTCAGTACCCTTGCTGCTTGTGAAGGAGCTTGCAAGTAACCATGAGAATCTTAATTATTACCTCGCGGCCCATGGCGGACCGCCCCAGGTCTGGGCTTTGGCTTTCGGAGGGAGCACCAGGTGTTCCTTTGCCAACCTTCCCCCGCCCGGGTGTGAGGAGCCCACTCCCACGCATCCCCACAGGCGCCAAGGGCTCGGGAAATGCGCAGAGCAGGCCCACCCACACCCACACCCGCAGCAACCTCAGAGACCAGGAGAGAGAGGCGGAGGGAGGAAGTGCTCCCCTCGGGCACCAACCTGGGCAGCCCGGGCAGCCCGCAGCGGAAGCTGAGGCAGGAGGCTATGGATGGAGCCTCAGGCACTGGGCGCGTCCTTCCCGACCAGAAATGCATTCCAGCCTCCATTTGTCCTGCTGGCTCTGGGAGGTTTTGGCCGACCCGCAGCCCAGCCCGGGGCCGAGTCTGCGCTGCCTATCTCCCCCTCTGGCTTCAGTGCCACAGGGAGGTGCGCTGGTGTCCAGGCCGCAAGAAGAGGAACAACTTCTAGCTGCCCCGGGCGAGAAGAGGAACAACTTCTAGCTGCCCCGGGCATACACAGTTCCACATGGGTTCTGAGGGCGAATAGCTTGTTGGAAGCATTGAAAAGGGAGAAAACTGCACTAACGCACATGTGTGAAGACATATATGCATACTTACTATTTATACATATACATATATAGTGTGCGTGCGTGTCTGTTTGTGCGTGTGGGCGTGTTCCATTACAGGTTACTCAGCCTGGCCATTGATAGTGACAGGCAATGGCCTTCCCAGGAATCATTAACATTACTATTATTATTATTATTATTATCATCATTATCATGACTATGACTTTTTAAGCATTTATCATGTGTCAGGGGTTGTGGCACATGCCTGTAATCCCAGCACCCAGGGAGGCTGAAGCAGGAGGATCTAAAGTTCAAGCCTCATTGGGGCAACTTAGCAAGACTCCATCTCCAAATAAAAAGGAGTGGGGATGTAGTTCAGTGATGGAGCTTCCCTAGGCTCAACCCTCAGAACAGGAGAAAAATTATTTATAATAATGGCTATGCCTTTTAAAAATTTTGTCTTGTCCCAGGTGTTGTGCTAAATAAGCTCTTTTATTAGCATTTAAAATTTATATTCCTCACATTCCTCACTAGAACTTTAGGATTAGATGTCCATCTTCGTTCTGTGTATAAGGAGACTGAGGTTCCTTGGGATAAGAAAAATACCTCGAGGTCACATGGTATAATCCAAGGGTAAGAAAACCTGAACTCAAGCCCAGGTTTCCAGACAGCAAATCCTACCTGCTACCCAGCCTCCATCCAAGAGGTGGGCGGAACTGGGCTCCCCTATGGGACTTTGGACACCAGTCTCAAGGCCTCTCAATTGGACCAGAGCAGCAGTGCTCCTGTCTGTGCCTGCTCCCTCTAGGCTGCTCATTCTCCAAGGCAGAGAGGGTGACTTCTCAGACAAAAATCACCTTGAGGTGCCAGTCTTCCCCTCGACTCTCACTGCCTGTATGGTGGCCCCCGCCACTCAGCGTTTTCCACTGTTTTAGGATTCCTGAGCATCAAGCTTCCTCCACCCTAGGGTCTTCACACTAGCAGTTCCCTTGGACAGGAATGCTCTTCTTCCCCTTCTCTCCTGGCTGCCTCCTTCTTGTAGCTTGGCTTGAATGTCCCGTCCTCAGAAAGGCCTTCCCTGACCAGCTCTCCAGGGAGCCAGCCAGCATATCAACCTAGTTAACTTCTGACAGGCACTTTCCACCATTAGACATGTTTCTTAAAAATGTTCCTCTCTCCTTATTGCAGTGTGTGATTGTCTCTTTTGCCACAGTACCTGGCACATCTCAGGCCTTCAATTATTACATACTAGTTGCATGGTCATCCTTTCTCTTGTTAGAGAACACCACCGCCTTAAGGCAGATTTCCTCCAGATAACCAGGAGGTTTTCCTAACAGCCCTGGCATTGCTTCCCCTATCCTCATCTTGGAACTCAACAGCCTGGAGCCCATAGAGCCGCTCACCTCTGTAAGTCAGCAGTGCTTCATCAAGGAATTCAGCAGCCTTCCGGAAATGTTGAGAGATGTCCACCTCTGGAAAGTCATCCACCTCCACACCCAGGTACTGGATCTCCAGGCCAGTGTAGAATTCAGGGCCTGTGTAGACACCAGTGCCATGTGCAGCATTCAGGATGTGGGTGACACCGAGCCTCTTCAGCCTGCCCTTGTTCACAGCCACGCTCCTGGGGGAAGATGAAGGGACAAGTTGGCCAGAATCAGACCTAGAAAGGAGCGTTATCACTGTGATGAGGGGCCTGCTTCCTGGATCAGGAGGGTGATATGGGGATAGGGCTGCCTTCTCAGACTAACTGCAAATGGCTTTGTAAAATGGGCCGTGACCTGACCACAGCAAGAGAGGGAGAAGAGATAGTCAGAGCAGGGCAGGATGAAAAGGAAAACAAGGCTGGTGTGCAAGGAACCTTTTGGGTAGTTGAGAGACCTCTGATAAAATACCATGCCTTGGGGATGCCAAAAAAGGCAGACAAAAATAATAAAATTAAGTATATTATCACCTTGAGAATGTATGCTATATTTTTCAAAATCCCATTATGTCATTATTTTATCTTTACAGTAAAGTTAAGAGGTAGAAAGGGCACTGTTTTTTTTCCCATTTGAAGATTATAAAAATGAATCCAATAGCTTTTATAACTACCCAAGACTGTGAAGAGAGAAAAAGACACGACCTGCTGATTTTGATTTCTGGTTCAGAGCTCTTTTTGCTGGAGCAGTATAAATGGAACTCAATTTGAAGAGGCCCTGAGGACAGGGCTGCCTAAGAAGGAGCAGAGAGAACTTTAGTTGGGGCTATCTGGGGATGCCTAGAGTCCCTGGTGACCACTAAGTGATGCTTCTGGAGCTACAGATCTATTTAAAGATCCCCTAGGACTCGGTGCCCACCTCTGGCAATCAGGTTCTGGGCAACTGATTACTCTACTGCAGAATGTAACATACATTGTCCAGAGCTGCTTCTCCAAACTCCCTCCTCCACTTCTGGATAAATGGATAATTATACTGGGAGGTAATGACCTCTGATTAAGTAGTCAATGGATGAATAAAAATTAGTTTCACAAATTAACCTACTGGTACCAATTATGCACTGGCAAGAGCCTGAAGGAATAGAATGTGAATGAGTTGCTTTTGTTTTTTGTTTTTGTACTGGAAACTACTGATGAACTTTTAAAATATAATAGTTTTCTGATTATAAAACCTGTACCATTCAAAAGAAAACTGAAGGAAAGAAATTAAAACCACCTCCCAGAGAGAGATACTGTGAACATTCTATCACATTTCTTTCTAATTTTTTTTATTGGAAAAGTGTGTATGCAGCCCACACCATAGATATTACTTGATTAGTGTATATTGTATATATACAGTGATTAGGCTACAACACAGGGTCCTCATGATGGGAAGCAGAGCCTGAGCATTCATTTTGCTGGGCATCTCTATGTGCAGGTGGGTGGAGAGTCTTTCCCCAAGGCCAGGGTAGGCTAAGTGGTCATGCAGCCTTCATTTGTTGGATGATGGTGTTATGGAAGCCTTTGGTGAACACTGAGGGAGTATAGTCACCCTCAGGCACTAACCAGAGGTATACGACAAAGCATCTTATTCCCCAGCAGTCAGACTCACTTCTCAGCTATGAAGACATTGGGCCAGACTTCATCCACCTCATTCCGGGGCGCCTCCTGGCGATCCTGGACCAAAGCCCGCTGCAGATCCAGCACACAAGGGGTATTGTACAGGCTGGTGTCATTCATCTTCTCCTTCACACGGTTGTACAGGTCCTCCATCAGCAGCTGCTCAGCGGACTCCAGCATGCCTGGACATTCCATGTCTGCTGGGAGCCCCCGAGGCTTGAGTTCTAGAGGGAACAGGTGGCATTTGCATAGAAGAGTTAGGAACCCCAAGGCTTTCCCTGCCCTTTGGGAGAACTTTCTGTAGGCCAGTTCACTGCCAGGACTCTGGACATGGACAGAATGCCAGCAGGATCTGCTAGGAAGGACCAAATAGGGACCTAGGAGATGCACGGCATTGGCCTGGACACCTGGTGCCAGCATCAGCTGCAGGTGCATGTGAAAGAAGGGAAATCTAGCCAGTTTCCTTGACTTTCTTTCTTTCTTTCTTTCTTTCTTTTTTTCTTTCTTTCTTTCTTATTTTTTGGTACTGGGGATCGAACTTGGGTCCTTGTGCTTGTGAGACAGGCGGTGGAACCACTGAGCTAAATCCCCGGCCTGACTCACTCCTTTGTCTAAAGTTCACTTACACATTTGTAGAGCTAGGCCCTTGTATATTAGGTGTGTGTCTCATGCTTGTTGTAGCTTGTGTCTAGGTGTCTCCCAAAGCCTCATGCAGTCATTGGTGGGGCTTTTTCAGGGTGGCTGAATCTACAGTGTGTGATTGATTCATGGTGCAATGCTAGGATTAAGAGTGAATGATTACTAAATCAGTCCACTGATTGGTTTGGCACTGCCCTAATCCCAGTAGCCTGGATACAATATAAGAGACAGAAAGGCTTGTCTTGTCCCTTGCTTGCTTTGCTACCTTCTGCCCATCATGAGCTGTTTCTTCTCTGTTTCTCATGCCTGTCTGCAGGGCCACCCTGCCTTGGAACTAGCTGATTATGGACTGAAAACTCTACAAATTGTGAGGTAAATAAACCTTTCCTCCTTTAACTTTGGGTGTTGGGTATTTTGTCTCAGCAAGGAGAAAAGTAACTAAGACTATGCTTATAACTCCCACACTGCCCAGTACAATGTAGATGCTCAAAAGTATTTACCAAATGAATAAATTATGTTCTTTCATAACAATTTGCACTAATAGCCCGAGTTGTTTACATATGGAATGCAAATAACCCTGAAAAAGTAAAAGTTTAGTAGTCATTTATACAATATTACCTTCTACTATCCACTTAATTTTCTTATTTACTTCATTTATTATCTGCTTCCCCACACTAGAGCTGACCAGCTGTGATTCTCAGTCTCCCAGCCCTCAGACGGGTGCAAAAGTTTGCCATGAGCTCCCATGCCAGTTTCAAACCAGGACCCAGAACCTTTCTGGCAGCTGGCCAGAAAAGCTCAAATTCCAAAGGAACTCAAATTCTGGTTCGTATCCGGGAGGACCTTTATCTCTTCCTAATAATATACTTCCTCATATTTATCAAATTTGAGGAGAAAGTTCGGTGTTTCCTTTTGCTAAGAAGTACAAGAATAAGGGAAAGAAAAACCTTCACTCTCACTCAGTAACCCAAAATACTGAATAAAGGGAGAAAAAAGAAGAGCAGTATGTCCTCTGTGTTGGCCATAAGCTCTTGCCAGCACCATCTGCACAGTCTCTGGGCAGGGAGCTACAGGACCAGCATGGCTATGTTTGGAAGATGGACTTGGCCTAGTCCCTCAGGGAATCATCTGGCGGGTAGCGGGGGTTCCATTCCTAAAGCTCCTCCTTTCTCCTGTCCCTCCTCTAAAGCACCTGGTCCCCACTGCCAAGCCCTATCAAGTGTTAGCTCTAAACATTCTCTCATCTCCATTTCAAAAACGGAAAGAAGACCTCTTCAATTCCTGACCTCTATTTTGTTTAAAAATAGATGAAGGCTTCCTATTTTCTCCACCACCCAGTTTTCTCCCCCAGCTACCCTGGGGCCTTGTATCACAAATGTAAAAGCCCTTCTCCTTTCCTAACCTACATAGCTCTCTTTCCTTTCTCACATGTGAAAAATAGAACTCACCCATGCCTCTTCAGCTACTCATATAACAGGGTGCTGTTTTGATTTCTTCCCTTTTCCATTTAAAAACAAATGCCCCAGCCCTTCATCCCCCTCCCCCTGCCCGGGCAACTCTTGTTTCCCTAGGCCTCTAGTTCATACTTCCTTCCTTCCAATCCTCCTGTTTATTGTGATTACCTGAGCTTTCTTCAGAACAAAGTAAAGTCCACACACTTTTCCCACCTTCTCCCAGCCAGGGGATGTATGCAGACTTTCATGAGAACTGAGAGTTCTTTAACATACAGTTTTACCTGTCTGATCACTACAGAACATTTTCCTTTTGCTGTAATATATAGTCTCCCCCCAACACACACACACACAGCTCTTCAGCCATGAAAGCTAATGACATTTAAGGTTAATGCCCCAGATAAGGAGAGACAGACAAGACCCACAATTTAAAAAGGGATTGCTCAAACAATCAACAAGTGGAATCTCTTCTTATTAAAAGGCTTCTGCACAGCAAGAGAAACCACCAGCAGTGTGAAGAGACAACCCACAATGTGGGAAAAAATCTTCACCTGCTCTTCCTCAGACAAAGGTCTACTATCTCGAATCTATAAAGAACTTAAAAAGATCAGACCTCCCAAATTTAAAGACCCAATCCAAAAATGGGCATCTGAAATGAACAGACATTTCTCAGACAAAGAAGTACAAATAGCAATAAATACATGAAAAAATGTTCAACATCACTGATCATTCGAGAGATGCAAATGAAAACAATGCTGAGATTCCACTTCACTCCAGAAAGAATGGCTGCTATCATGAAATCAACCAATACCAAATGCTGGTGGGGGTGTGGGGAAAGAGGAACCCTGCCCCACTGCTGGTGGGAGTGTAGACTGGTGCAACCACTGTGGAAATCAGTATGGAGATACTTCAAAGAACTAGGACTGGAAGTCCCATTTGACCCCGCTATTCCACTGCTGGGGATCTTCCCTAAAGAATTAAAAGAATCATACCACAGTGATATATGTGCACCCATGTTCATAGCAGTACAGTTTGTGATAGCTAAAACTTGGAAAGAGCCCAAATGCCCATCAACTGGAGACTGGATAAAGAAAATGTGGGTTTTTAATAAAATGGAGTACTACTCAGCCATAAAAAATGAGAAATTAGAGGCATTTATAGCTAAGTGGATGCACATTGAGGCAATATTCTTAAGTGAAATAAATAGGACACACATGTATAAATTCTGAATAGTTTCTCTGGTGTGAGAAACTGAAAGTGTAAATAAGGACTAAATGTATAATAGGTCATGTGAAATAGGAAGAAAAGGGGCAAAGGGGAAGGAAGTGGGAGGGCTAGGGGAAAGGATAGAAGGGAATGGGATTAATATGAGAAAATGGAAAAATAGGAACAAAATCTTGTAAATAGGGAGGACTGGAGGGGTTGAAGGGAGGGCTGAGCAAGGGTGAAAAATAAGAACCAAGAGAGACTATGTAAAGGTGCAAATTTCCAATGATGAATGTCATTATATTGTATACCTAAAATGTACCAATGATTAGAATGAATAATCGATAATGTAAAATAGGCAGAAAAGGTCCAAAGGGGTAGGAGTAGTGGGAGGGGCGGGGGAAAGGAAAGAAGGGAAAGGAAAAATGATGAGGAATGGAAGAAATGGAAATAAAGTCTTTGTAAATAGGGAAGGGTGGAGGGGGTGAAGGGAGGGCTAGGAATGGGGAAAAAATAAGAACCAAGATGCATTATGTAAGGGTACAATTCCCAATGAGAAATGTAATTGTGTTGTATACCTACAATGTACCAATAAAAGAATTTAATATAAAAAAAATAAAAAGGCATTGCTCATCTTGTGGTTTCAGACTAGACCTTGAATATCTACAACATTCTATAGACTTGAAAGTGAAACTTTCAAAAGGAGAAAATGGTTCCTCAACAATTCAGAAAGCTAGGCTTTTACTTATCAAGACCTTTAGCCTGGAGCCTGTCCCATGGGGTAAGGCACAGAGCACAGACATGCAGAGTGGAGGGTTAGGAAAATTCCCCAATGCAAAAAGAAAGAATGACCTTCTGGTGCTAGGGTGATTCTGGGAGCAATTCGGTGAGAACCAGCCGAGGGTGGAGACACAGCCTGAGTCTAGGAACCCTGGCCTGGCTTGGAGCAACACAACAGAGACCTCAAGTAGGGTGGAAAAAGAAAGAAAAAAACAAGAAGCAAAGAGAGCTTTGAGGAGACAGTCCCCTTCTGAATCCCCAGATCAGCCAGCAACAGCAGTTTCTGGTTCTCTAGGTGCTGTGCCTTTTGTGGGGACCCACAGAATCAGGGAACCAGGTCAGTCCTGGACTTAGGGGAGACAAAGAGGAGCATGGCTGCTTCTCAGGTCAAAAGGCCAGGGAAGGGACTGTGGCCACCATGGGTGGGTGCCAGATTCAGCCCAAAGACCTCATGAGGCTCGTTGCACCAGCTCTGGTTGCCTTGTTCTGTCCCACCCCATCGGAAGTGTGAAAGGCCACCCAGAGAAATGGGAGGAGCAAGGGGAGGAGTGAAACTGTGAAAGGTTATTTACCAGAAAAAACAATCCTTCCAATCAGGATGAGTATCTATGAATGAGTATAACAGGTCATCTGCTCCAAAATATTCAGTGTCAATTTAATAGGGCTTCCAACCCCCTCTTTTATTTACTTCCTTCCTTTTATTGACTTCTACATACTGTAGTTTGAAGACCATGTTTAAGCACAATGGCTGCAGATCTAAATCTAAACATTCCCTTGCCCGGAGCTCACTGTGTGTTCCTAGCCATTTCTTGTGCTCTCAGCTTTGGCTCTCTGCTATAAGCCATCCTATCCACCACCCTTGAAGTTAAAGAAACAACTGAAAGCGAGGTCCTAGGAGCAGATCGGAGCTGCCTCCGTGTGGTCAACTAGAGAACTGTTGACACTGGCCCACCTCTTTGTCATCAAAGTTGAGGAGGTGGGGTTGGCAGGACTCCCTTTATCAGATCTGCTTTTCTTAAAGTGGTGGGCAGTGCTGGAGAAGCACATTTACTCCTTTCAGGGAGCTCCCCGCAAGGATCTCCTGGTGACCCCTGGGCAGTCCCTGTTCTGCTTGCCTGCTGGCCCAACTGCACTACCTTCATTGATGATCTGTTTGGCGGCAACAGCGGAGGAGAGGTGAATGGGGTCCATGAAGATGCTCTCGGTTTCTGCATCAGACACCACTGAGTACCTAAGGAAAAAGACAGGTATGTGAGACAGCCCTGGGCATGAAGACATTCTTCTTGGTGGAGGGATACCTGGGCCTGATTTAGAGCAGGAAGCTGGGTCTGATTTTAGCCCCAGTGGGGAGCAGTGAGTGGTAACTGGAAAGCAATCCCCAGTTTAGGAAAGCTAGGATGCAGCATGGTGGGTGCCTTATGGCTCAGGTGACATCTAGTTTTAGACCTGAGTTAGCACCTCTGGTGTGGACATTGATGTTAAATGATACAGTCTAGATTGGAGAGGGAAGAGTGTGTGTATGAGCAGGGAGACCTGTCCTGAGGTGGCTTCAGTTTCTTAGATACTTACTGCTCATTTTTTTCTTTGCTATCAGTACTTTTTTTTTTTTTTTTTTTTTTGAGACAGGGTCTCACTGTGTAGCTCAGGCTAGCTTTGAACTCACGGCAATTCTCCTGTCTCAGCCTCCCAAATGCTGGGATTATAGGTGTGCACCACGATGCCCAGCTCAGGATGTCCCTAACGGTGCCTTTCCCAGGGCTCTGCTAGGTGGTGGCTGAGGAGGCTGCCACCATGCTCTCTTTTTTCGTATCTTTTTCCTGCTTGTAAGGAAATGGGCTGATAATGAAGGGCAGGTATACTTCTAAGTGAAAAGCAAAGATGTGCTCAAACACGCAGGTCCTGATTCTGATCATAAGGCTGAGCCCAAGGATGTGAGACAGTAGCTTGGGTCCCTGCCAAGGCTGTTTCCCAAGAGAAATTCAGAGGATTTATCAAAGGGACCGCTGAGGAGCATGGAGAACCAAGGCAGAGACTAGTGTTCACTAGTGAACTCCTTCCTAGTGAGCTGGTTTCCAGATGGGGGGATGAGCTTTGGGTCTTTTTTTTCTTCTTTTTGTCTCTCTTTTCTTTAGAATCAGAGAGGTTAAAATGTGGCGATTATGAATTTAATTCTGCCAAATCCTCCATAAAGCAGGTGTTATTATTCTTGCTTTGCAAATCAGAAAACTGTGGCTCAGGGAGTCTAGGGAAAATGCCCACAGTAGTAAGTCAATGACAGGGCTCTACAGTATGGCAAACTTCAGGCAGTCCTGCTCTAAATCCAGTCTTCTCTTCACCACAATACATTGATACCATGATTGGAACAGGAAGGTGAGACCACTGATGGAAGCAACCCCAGCTGGAGTCTCGGGCCCAGTATAAGACTCTGACACAAAGAAGTACCTCAGTGGCACTATGCTTGCCTGGCAAGCACAGTCCTGAGTTTGATTCCTGCTACTGGAAAAAATAATTACAGTAAAAGATGTATTGCCATTAACCTCCCTAACAATATTCCTCCTCATTTTGAACATACTTATCCCATCCTTCTTGCCACTTGCTGAAGGAGTTCTGGAAGTCCTTTCTGTGCTTGTTTTTAGTTGTGCTCTGGTGGCTCCCTTTATGTCCTGGATCCATTCAAAATGTTTACCTTTCATGGTGATTTTGACTTTGGGAAAGAGACAGAAGTTGCGAGATGCCAGATCCAGTGAATGAAGTGGATGAAGACACACTGTCATGTTTTTACCAGCTTGCTTTTCCATTTGGATGGCGTTTGGCAGCAGCATTTACTACATTTTTAATCATACCTTATAAAGACATTTTAAAAAGAGGATTTCCATAACTACTTCTGAAAGTGGCAGGAATGATGGGGTAAGTATTTTCAAAGTGAGGAGATTATTTTGAGGGGAATTAACGCCAATGTGTCTTTTGCTCTAATAAAAAGTTTTAAATTTAAAAACTCACCATAATTTTTGATCATTGCATTTACTTAAAAAATAGTTGTTGAGAAAATGAATGGGTGGGTGGATGAATTGAGTAGAGTTAAGCTGAGCCCAGCTGAGCTGAACAAAGTCAACTTGGGCTAAGATAAATTGGAACAGAATTGAAATGATTAGCAGAACAACTCTTTTGTAGTACATGGCCACATCAGAGTCACCCTTGGGGGAATGTGTGCTGAGTGTCAGCAAGACCGTGGAGAAAGAAATGCCCTTGTCAGTGGAAAGGAATAGCCTGTAACTCTACCCAGGAAGAGGCCAGACCTGCTCAATGTGACATTATGATCCTTGGTTCCTGAGAGTTTTCCAAAAGAACCTGGATTGATCTTTCTCATTCTATCACCAAGCACTCCTTGTGACCACAGGATGCACTTTCAGATAACTGCGGGAGTTAAGGTGGGTTGATAAGGGTGTAGTTTCTGGGATATCATCCTAGGATGTTAGAACTGGAGAGATCTTTAAAAATCTCATTGCTCGGTGAAGACAATGAAAATTAGAACATCTGGAAGGAGTAGGTGCAGATTAGCCCGCTTACTTTATTTAACTTAAATCATCTAGTTCCTTCCATTTTGCCACAAATGACAGAATTTCATTTTTTTTTTTTTTGGCTGAATAACATCCCATTCCATATGTATGCCACATTTTCTTTATCCACTGATCTATTGGTGGATGCCTCAGTTGATTCCATAGTTTGACTATTGTGAACAGTGCTCCAACAAACATGGGAATGGAAGTAGCTCTTTGATATACTGATTTCATTTCCTTCGGATATATACCGAGAAATGGGATAGCTAAATCATGGTATAGAACTACTTTTAGCGTGTTTTTTTTGGTACCAGGGATTGAACTCAGGACCTTGCGCTTGCCAGGCAGATGCAGCACCACTGAGCTAGATCCCCAACCCTAGTTTTAGTTTTTTAGGAGCCACCATTTTTGACTCCATAATGGCAGTAGTAATTTACATTCCCACAAGCAATGTGCAAAGAATCCCTTTTTCTTCACATCCTCACCAGCACTTGCTATTTTTTGCTATTTTGGTAATAGCCATTCTGACTGGAATAAGAGGATATCGCATTGTAGTTTTAATCTGCATTTTCCTGATCCTTAATTACATTGAGCATTTTTTCATATACCTGTTGGCCATTTGTATTTCTTCTAAGAAATGTCAGTTCAGATCATTTGCCTCATTTTATTTGGATCATTTGTTTTTTGTTAAGGGTTTAAAGTTCCTTATATATTCTAATTACAGGCTCTTGTCAGATGAGTTGTTTACCAATATTTTCTCCACAGTACTGTTTCCTTTGTTATGTAGAAGTTTTTTGTTTGGTCTAATCTCATTTTTCTATTTTTGGTTTTGTTTCTTATGCTTTTGGGGTCTCATCAAAAAAATCATTGGGAAAAAATTATTGCATATATTGATGTCTCGAAGGGTTTCTTCTATATTTTCTTTTAGTAGTTTCATATTTTACATTTTGGTCTTCATCCATTTCAAGTTGATGTTTTTATATGATAAGAGATAGTAGTCAAGTTTAACTCTTTCTGCCTATCTATATCTAGTTCTACCAGCATAATTGTTAAAGAGGCTGTACTTTCTCCAGTGTATCTTTTTTCCCCCTTAAATTCTTTTATTGGTACATTTTAAGTATACAATATGTTTACATCTATCATTGGGTGCTTGTACCTATATGTGTTGTATCTTGGTTCTTATTTTTTCCCCAGTACCTGTGCACCCTTCACCCCCTCCATCCTTCCCTATTTTCAAAGACTTCATTTCCATTTTTTTTTCTTTTCTCATAATTTTTCCTTTCCCTTCCCCTCCCACCACCCCTGCCCCTCTGGACCTTTTCTTTCTATTTCAAATTATCAATTATTCATTTTAATCATTTTAATCCTTATTTACACTTTCAGTTTCTCACACTAGAGAAACTATCCAGTATTTACATGTGTGTTCTATTTATTTCACTTAAGAGTATGGCCCTCAATATGCATCCATTTAGCTATAAATGTCTCTAGTTTGTCATTCTTTATGGCTGAGTAGTACTCTATTTTATTAAAAAACCAGATCTTCTTTATCCAGTTTCTAGTTAATGGGCACTTGGGGTGTTTCCAAGCTTTAGCTATTACAAACTGTGCTGCTATAAACATGGGTTCACATATATCGCTGTGCTGTGATTCTTTCAATTCTTTTGGGAAGATACCCAGCAGAGGAATAGCTGGATCAAAAGGGACCTCTACTCCTAGTTCTTTGAGGTATCTCCATACTGATTTGCACAGTAGTTGCACCAGTCTGCACTCCCACGAACAATGGAGAAGGATTCCTTTCTCCCCACACCCCCACCAGCGTTTGTTATTGGTTGATTTCTTTTTTATTTTTTTTGGTACTGGGGATCGATCTTGGGTCCTTGCACTTGCACAGCAGGCGGTAAAACCACTGAGCTAAATCCCCGGCCCCCTGGTTGATTTCTTGATAGCAGCCATTCTTTCTGGGGTGAGGTGGAATCTCAGTGTTGTTTTCATCTGCATCTCTCAAATGACCAGTGATGTTGAACATTTTTTCATATATTTATTTGCTGCTTTTACTTCTTTGTCTGTAGAGCAGCTGGATACCTGGTCAACACTCAAAACACAATAGCCTTCTTATACACAAATAACAGACTCACTCAGAGAGAAATTAGGGAAACAATTCCTTTTACAACAGTATCCAAAAAAATGAAATATCTAGGAATCAATCTAACGAAGGAAGCAAAAGACCTCTACACTGAAAACTACAGCACTTTGAAAAAGGACATTGAGGAGGATATAAGAAAATGGAAAGGCATCCCTTGTTCCTGGGTAGGAAGAACCAATATAGTAAAAATGGCCATACTTCCAAAACTACTATATAGATTTGATGCAATGCCAATTGAAATTCCAACAATATACTTCACAGAACTAGAGAAAACAATCCAAAAATTCATTGGAACCAGAAGAAACCTAGAATAGCAAAAGCAATTGTAGAAAACAGAGACATGGCTGGGGGAATCACAATCCCCAACTTGAAACTATACTACAAAGCTACTGTGATAAAAACAGCATGGTACTGGGTGAAGAAACAGACCCAAGGATCAGTGGAATAGATTAGAAGATGCAAAAATAACTCCAGACATACTCAGCCACCTCATCTTTGACAAAGGACCCAACTACCCTCATTGGAAGAAAG